CAATCGAACATGGCTTACGACTTTTATCTCCCTTTATGCCCTTCTTGACTGAAGAGCTCTGGCAGCGGCTACCACGCAGACCAAACGACAACACACCCTCAATCACAATCGCTGAATATCCACAGTATGAGCCATCCTTTGATGACACGAAATCCGAGGTGGCTTATGAGCTCGTACTGGGCTGCTCTAAAGGTATCCGTTCACTGTTAGAAGACTACGCTGTTAAGGACGAAGGTGTGGTTCATATCTCCTGCCTTAATCAAATGTCGTACGATACTGTGTCAGCACAACTTCCCACGATTCAATCACTCTGCGCAATCCGACGCAAGACACCAGTGAAGATCAGTGTTGCGAAGGTTGGAGAAACCAAACATACTGACTGTGCAGTTTTCCCTGTTTCAGCTGACGCAAACGTTTATCTTGAAGTCAAAAATCGCATACAAGATGCTGCGAAAGAGGCTGACAAGTTCAAAGTGAAGATAGATGAAGCAAGAAAAGAACAAGTTGATGTGCATACCATCAAAGCAGAGCTAAGCAAAGGTTCCGATACTATTCAATTTTACGAGAACCGGGAACGAGATATCGATGCAAGATTACAAGCACTACAAGAGACCGTAGAGATGTTTGAGAAGATGAAGGCTTAGGCTGTGTGGCCCTGCTGGCTTATAGCACGACCAGAAAGTACCACCTCACAGTAACATCTCACCAGGCTAGTTCGTATAAAGGATTCTGATGGAGGAATGTGAGATGATAGGGGAATTACAGTCACCAAGTGGCCTCCTTTCACTAAATCAGAGCATAGAATGAGGCGCTAATGCTCGTTGTATATTAGAGATATAGAGTCCTTTGAACTCTCTACTCACAATCAATAGTACAATCAAGAACTTACTCCCTGATATGCAGTGTGATTCGTGATAAATGCGATAGATTACTTAACATTATCATACCTTTTCATAATATGCGTGCCAAATGGGCTCTAATATTCACATGCCCCTTTCAAGATTCTATTTACCATCTACTAATGACTTGAAAGCTTGCAACAGATCATCTCTCAAATCTTCCCATCCCTCGATTCCTACACTGACCCGCAGCAATTTCTGATCAACAGTTGCATCTGACATTGCCCTCCACTCGATCAAACTCTCTACACCACCCAAACTCGTAGCGTGATGGAACAATTCCAACTTGCTGGGTAACTTCTTCGCGAACCCTACTTCTTTCAAGACGATGGAAAACACCGGTCCAAATCCATTTGGCATCTGCTTCAATAGCCACCCATCCTTAATATCCTCTACTTGCAAACTTGCATGTTCAACTTTAAGCACCGCTTTCCTCACCACCTCTGTTTCAAGATCATTAGATTTCAAAGCACTATCTAACCACGAAACGAGATTCTGCGCCGACGCCGATTGCTGCTTGACGCGAATTTCCAGCGTTCGGACACTGCGGATGCCGAGCCATCCTTCCATCGACCCCATCACATTCCCCAGCACCACTCGCTCTTTCTGTAACCCCTGAAACCAACCATCTGCAACGTGTTTGGGATTCACAGTGAGAACACCACAGAGCATATCGGAATGTCCGCCAATATACTTCGTGCCGCTATGCATGACGATATCTGCACCCCAGAGAAACGGATCCTGCAGAGGCGGCGGCGCAAACGTCGCATCGACGGATAGAAACGCACCGCGCGAATGCGCCTTCTCGGCAAAGAGAGCGAGGTTGTAGGCGGTGCCTTGGGGATTGAGCGGGGTTTCCACGTGGATGATGTCACCGGGGTGGAGATCCTCGGCGGGACAATCGAGAGGGAGTTTTTGGAGCCCGGTAAGTTTGGTGTGCACGTCTATGACGCCGTGACAGCCATGGTAGCCTTCGCCGATGGAAATGCGTTTGGGGTTGAGATAGACGAGAGCGGCGTGGAAGGCGGAGAGTCCGGATGTGTATGTGAGAGTGGGGCCTTTGAGAATGTTGCTCAGGATTGCTTCGAAGCGGGTGGTGTTGGGGGCGCTTATGCGGGAATAGATGTGGCTATCGTGTGGTGCGTGGGGCTTTCAAGTGGTGTTAGTGATGAGGTTTGGGAGATAGGAGGAAGATAGAATGATAAAGGTAGATCATGTGATTGAAGTGTTTGAATGGATGGCGGGGTACTCACATCTAGCTCACTTATGGCAACGAGGTCGTCTGGATTATTACTGTAGCGGAAAGTGGTGGATACGTGTAGAGGTGGTGCAACATCTTGACCTTTGTTGAGGAAATCGTCGGCGTGTACGGTTTGGGAAGAGAGTGATAATGCAGAGAGTCCTTGGTTGGGGGTGTGATCTTGGAGATCTTGTTGACCATTTAGACCGGGCTGAGAAGTTGCCATGGTTTTCTTGTTTTGTAGATGACTTTATACTCTTTATATGCTTGTGTAGGTATGTATGCAGTTGGATTTGAATAAATGTAATGAAATTAGTTCAAGAGACTCGAACGATTATTTGTATCGATAAAGATTCGTTGCTGGGTATCTTAGTGTCAAGTCGATGGAGTAAAAAAACTGGAGCTTGAGATGAAATAACCGCCACGAATTGCAGACTCATACATACTATACTAATTATCAGATCCGAGAATGAATATTTTGAACAGAACATTTACGAATTGACAAACAATTATTACATACTTATACCTACCTATATCTCTAATACTCAGTGAAGTTACAATGGCGTGAATCATAAGCTTTTTGCAGGTAAAAAAACACAATCATTTCTTCGTACGCCGTTTTACATTAAACGATCACAATGGCGCAATTCGCACGCCTTTGACAGTGACAATCATAATCGATTCTCCACAATTCGTTGATCAGTCCTAGGTATCGCTAAGACTAAGTTCCCCTTTCGAATCTAATGCTACCTTGTACAAATGCTAAGAGACGACGAGCTTGTAGAAAGGGTCGAGAAGCTTGAAGTTTAACTTTTTTTTTTGTGGCTATACAGTAGTTTAATGTTCATCTGGAATATAAATGATATATTTGCTGATGTAGAAGTGTTAAATGCTCAATTCGAATTTGTCACAGTCGCAGCTTGCAGATTCTCTGCAAACAGCTCCATTTCTTTCTCCATTGTCTTCTTGTCCTCACACCGTTCTGCAGTATCAAGACTTACCAAAACCGCTTTACCTTGAGATATCAAGAACTTGTTCTCATCTAAGGAACCATGCATAATCCCCAATTTGTGTAATTTTCTGATGAGGGTCTGACAAAGAGATAGGTCGGCAATTGTAGCTCTCCTACCTTCAACATTTTCCGTTAGCAACCCTATCACGCGTCCACCTTCAGTTATATACCCAAGAAACTTGGGTATAAGAACATTGCAATTATGTAGCCAAGAATATACTTGGATTTTGGCGATATAGTCTGTCTCCCAATAGAAGTTGGCGACTTTAGCAATGACTGGTTTGTCGAAGGCTGGGGATGATACCAAATGTACATTGGGCTCTAGTTTTCGAATAAATTTAAGTGAGAGATAATCAATATGACTTATTGGCTTAGGAAACCATGAGCTATCAATTGTAGGAAGGGCAGCTTTGAAGGCTTCAACCACAGTTGGAATTCCACCTACTAAAGAGATTCGGGCCAGGTTCCAACTTTCGGCATCTCCTTCGGATGGCAATGGAGGTAATTTCTTTGCGAGAAGCGAAGGGGAGCAGAGATCTCTTGCGAGATAGGTTCCAGGATCAATTGTAATATATTTGAAACGCTTTCCGTCTACTAGAATCCGGAAGTAACTAGGTAGGATGTTCTCGAAATCGGTATCTTGGTTCAGTATTTCGATTCGAGGATGAGACATCGGCAACGGCCAATTTCCATGGTGTGATGAAACAATGATGTTTCGTACGGCGATGGATTCGATCATAATCTTGTTTGCCAACAACTGTTGTTGTTTAACATTGACTCTTCGATCAATGTTTCTTTCTGGTACCTTCATATATTTCGGTTTCAATGCCTACCTAGGCCGTAGAAAGAATCCTACGATTCATCAACCTGTTAATTGACACAGAAGGAATTGCCTTGCCACAAAATCACGAGTTGGTATGTTGGTGGCATTGTACCTCCTGCCTTTTGCTGGGCCGACAATATGAGGAATGGATAATATGTCATATACTTGCACACGTATCATGCGCAAGACAAATTGTCATTATTGTAGATGATCAGTCTGATATTTGAAGTTTCGATATCATGTATTGTCAAATTGTGGAGACGGCGCTAGTCCCCGATTGACGTAGAAATTATGATTTGTAAGCACTACACACCAATCTCAACATGCAATTTGCTATGCAACATCTAAACAAACTCAGACACCATCAAAATCCATATTCTGAGACCTTTGATGATGTTCTCAGCAATTCTGGGTTCGTTTCATGATAGTGTTGGTTTGATTCTATTCCTGTACGACTACCTCGCCACATCGGTTTGTTGGCCCCCGACTGGCGACCACCACAAGGCCAAGGTCAATGAGGACAACGACTATCTCTAAGGCTATCATACCATACTCGCGCGGTTATTACTGCTCACGAGAAATTACACGCGATATATTCACGATGAGGTAGGCAGATGACTTGAAGAATGAACTCAGCAAGGCCGCGTCCATATATTATGGAGATCTCCTGCTGGCTTTCTTTTTGGTCTACTTTTCTTTTTCAGTAAATATCTTATCAACTATCCAATCTTCAGTAACCAACATGGTCTTTGGATGGTCTTCCAGAACTGCTTTACCACCCACAGTTGGGTCAACTGATGGAAGGAATGGTCATGATCATACCTCTCCACACCCCGATTTCTCTCTCTTCCAACTCGTACTCGATAAACATGTGAGTCAACTGCGCCATCATAAAAAGCCGTACATTAGGTAGCTGTTTCTCGGATCTAAATGTAGTTTTCATATCTATTTTTGAGTCTCATATTCCTGGATTTGATTCAACATTAACTTCTCTGTGGTCAAGAACAATTCTCTTTAACCTTCAAAATGACTTCTGAAGATTCAACACTCAAATCACCAAGACTTCACCACATAGATACATCATCTAATGGCGGTGTCTCTGGACCTTTCTGGGACTCAAACGAACGTTGCTTTTGGCTGATGAATAATCGTCAAGTCTACACGCATCCTGAAAATTATAGCGGAAGTTCCGCTTGCGCGACTATCGCATCCGCGAACCCTGATTCTGCTTACCCATCCGGCTGGTCTAGAGGTCAACGCACACGATCACTCTCGGGATCTGACGATTCGCCAGATTCAGCATCGCATGAATCCAAACGCATTCGTCCGGAGTCCCTTGACAGTGCACCCCCAAAGAATACACAATCCAAACAGCCTTTGCGCCAGGGTACTCCGGAACAACAACGCAAGTTCCCACAATACGATTTATCCAATCTTCCACCTCCACCTCCCTTTCCTCCTCAAAGATCTCAATCGGTTCGTTTTTCCCCAAATATATCTTATTCGGATGACCCTGTGAAGAAGCATAACCCAGGACCATCCCTACCTAGCTTCCCTCAACGCTCTCAATCTGTCCGCGTCTCAAACGAGCACGATCAAGGCTTCACTCGCTCCAGAAATCCATCCCCCTCCTCTCCCTCATCTTCCTCTTCACGTACCCACCATAAACCCCTCCCCACCCGTCCCCAATCATTCCCAGCCTCAACCTCAGCACCACCGTCATCATCATCATCATCAAACCCACCCACAAAATCCACCTCTCCCTTCCCCATCCCCTACAGTACCCATCCTCCCACCACCCGCTACACCCCTCCCAATTACCTCCGCGACCCCGAACACGAAGACGAAGATTTTTCCTCCCCCTCCTCCGCCTATTCCTACTCCAAATCCCCCTCTTCCTCCTCCTCCTACTCACACCATCGCGTCCCCTCTTCTCGCGACCGCGACGAATCCCAACGTCAACGCACCCACCACCGTCGCATCGAATACGACTACGACACCGATACCGATCTCTCCGATCAGAAAGAAAAGAAACTCAGAAGACAGAAACGTACTCGTGAACGTACCCCGGATGAACAGAGGAAACACGAGAAAACTCTGAAAAGCATTGGAGAGACGGGAAGAGGAGATATGGGACGAGCGGCTTTATTGGGAGCCCTTCCTTTCGTGTGCCTTTTGGCGAGATTGGCGGCTTAATGGTTTTTCTTCTTCTCTTTCTATTTCTAGCTTTCTAGCTTGCTCACACTCTTTTACGTACTATTGGTCGGGTCTTGGGATTGGGTATTAGGAGGATAGGTTTCATATGGAATTTATGAAATAAATTGTGGATTGGCTGGTGAAGTGTTGGAGTTTGGGTGTGTCTACATAGCCGTCATGCGGCAGCCACTCTTTCAGCGATTCATAAAAACAATAGAAGACAAACATTTATTTCGAAGAACTTAGAATCCTATCTTGTAAAATCTTCCATATATATTATCACGTTGATTTATTCGTTCAACGTCCCAGATGTGCTCCATCTTCGCTACCTATCCAAATCTATGTAACCAATTTAAAATTCCACGAAGAGAAAATAATTAAGAAAACCTAGTGATAATCCAGTGTCGTAATTTCATTATACTTTTGCGCATATCTCCCATTCCATCACATCCCGAAAATCTCCCCTTGGCTCCGATCAAGAATGTAAATATAACCCCACTCACGCCTGCTATCAATCTTCAATCAATTTATCACATGACGACGCATTTGGCAGTATTCTTCTTCTGCTGCGGCTGCAACTGCACCTCTGCATCTTCTACTACAATCGCTGGCGAAGTAGCAGGTCGCGAATCCCATGTTACGTCTGTCCAACCTGCACTACTTGCCGCATCACTTTTGTGCTTAGTTCTCTTTGCCATCATACTCTTTCTCCAGCCGTTTTTCTTAGCATTTTTGACATTTCGTGACGCACTGCGCTCTGCTCTGCTTGGTTGTCTGGTAATAGGTATCGGCGGTATATTGTAAGGTAAGGTGACTCGAGTAGAAGTTGCACTATGAATTGTCTCGAGGCGTTGTAGAGGTGGACGTAAGCTGTTTGGCGATGCAGAATATCTTTGCGAACCAAGGCTGGTTCGTCGAGAAGGAGAACCATGACCAGAAGGAGGACGAAGGCCTGTGTTCGGACGAGTAGGGCTTGCCCCGTAAGTCCCAGCGGCTGCACGGGGTGGTGTAGACAGGCGATTTGATTGCTCAGGAGCAGTATGTGAACCTTGTTGAGATTGGTTGCTAAAACCTTGCAGTGGTACAGAATCTCGAGGGTTAGAGCCAGAACGACGTCGAGATGGATCCCTTAGAATATCTGGACGTCCACTTCGACTATTGAATCGCGCCAAAAGATCAGCACTGGGCATCACTAATCCAGAGACTCCGTTCACAGGAACCTCCACAGGTGCAGAATTGACTCTTCTCCAAATAGTGATAGGTTCATCGGTAGACTCTGAGAGAGCTGAGATGGAAGGAGTGTCACCCACTCGTGGAAATGTTGCGCTTTGCTTTACAGCCCGCACACCGGGCGTTCCCTGTGCTGGTACTGTGGGTAAAGTAGAATTTAGTTGTGGAAGATCAGAGCCGTCTCTTTGTTCTCCGGCTATAGCGGTCGTAGGTCTGCTATTTTGCATAAGAGAGACTTGATCATCAACTGTTGTAGTTTCCCAATCTAGCAAGCGCCTGTCAAGAGTTGCATTCATAGGCTGGGGAATGGGGGAGACAGGCGATTGTAACGTGGCTCTCATAGACGAGTTTGAATTATAATCGAGCGTGCTATTCTCATCATCGTTGAGTTCTACAGGAGGTCGGGAGCTTTGCTGGGGCAAGTGCCTTGTAAGGCTTGGTTGTGGAGTACCAATTGGGGAAACATCATAAAGGCTGTCAAAATCAGAGGTCGTAGGACGTTCCTCAAAGTTTGCAATGGAAGGACTTGTCACTGGTCGAGCCACTTCATCATCCACAGGGCTAGTCATGGAAGGTGCAGTTGTTGTATCGCTAAGGGATCGGCGAAAAGGGAACCTTTGCTCCCGTAAAGCTTCAGGAAGAGGTCGTTGAAGAACTGGGGCATCTAGTCCTGGGAAGTCAAGGACTGTAGCTCGTTGATTATTTGCTGCTTGCATAAGCCTCGCATGGTCCGCAAGTATAGATCTCTGAATGTGTTCAGGAAGTGGAGGGACCGGATCTTTTTGGTAAGGAGGAGGCGGCGGCTCCCAGTTGTCTGCATCGCTTTCATGCGGATGCTCCTCACGGCCATCTGCACGGCGATACTCGATATGTTCCTGTATCATAGAGCGAGGATGTAATCTTCTATTGACGGCAGCAGCTGTTGCAGCGCGGCGTAGAGTCGTACCTGAGCGAGGTGCAGCATTCGCATAGGGATCATCAAAAGCTTCTTGGTCATAATCAATAGAAGCTGTCTCTGCTGAATCAGTCGTATTCCCTAGGCTGTTCATTTGTCTGGGTAAAGGAGGAAGTGGGACGTTAGATGAATTGTTCAAATTAGGCAGTGCAGGAATTGGTGGTGGTTCCGGGCGTGTCATAGTGGTAGCTGAACGAGCAATACTAGCACGATAACTTCTTCTCTGTGCTACTGTTCTTCTTCTGACAATTGCCACCTCTGTGTCTATGTCCCTGTGTTCTTCCTCTAGAATTTCCGGATCGTCTCGTTGGCCCACCTCTATGGTTGTTGTGTTTTTCTTGCCATTGCTCGTGCCACAGGAAAAATCTAGTACACAAATACGGCCACCATCTACCGGACTCATACTATCATCCTCGTCTATGATGCATTGGCGTTTTACCCCTGGTGCAACAGCTATAAGTCTTTCACCTTTGAGCTGTTTTGATTCTTCTTGGACCCAGCTCAGTGCACTTACTCCGTCCAAAGTGGTTATATGATAGCCTTCAACAAATGTATTGCGCGACTTATCGCAGAGGAGTTGCCATTGTGGAATACGAATACTGCTATGGTCCAAAGATCGATTTACAGAGCGCAACGATGGGGCGCTGTTTCGACGTCCAATCTGACTAAGAGGTGTGCCTGGTGCGGTTTCTGCATTACTATTCGAGCCCGCAATGGCAGGTGTAGGATCCAAATTCTCCGGAATTCCCCAGAGCCAAACGCTACCTCGACTATAACCAACCGCTGCCAAATCTCCAGATTTGTTTGCTGCTGCTTTTGATGCAGGTGGTTCCCCATTGGGTCCAACAAAATGAACTTTGCCATTGCGTAAATCATCCATCCTTACTGCCCGAAAGGTTTCAAAAACTCGATCATATGTAAAAGTCCAGCTTGCTTCGTCATCATGAGGACTGGGTAATAGGACTGCATGACTACAGTCTCGGCTACCAGTAGGGAAGAGTATTGAAGTTGTCCAAAGAGCGCTTATGCTATCTTCAGGGGAGACACTCCCGGGATCATAATATGGCGCGGTCAAGACGACGGTACTAGGGTTTCTAGACTGTAATGTGGTGCCCAAAAGTAAGTCAGAATCACGGGAAAAAGTCAAAGAGTCAACGCCATAGGCCTTTACAGCGCGACTTGTACCGATTTCACGCAGGGAAGTCAGTTCTACTCCAGAGCTATGAGCGGCGGGTTAGCAGCACTTCAACAAGTAAGGAACAGGGTAATAATGAAAGATATGATCAGGACTTTCCGATGTACTCAGAAGAAAAGTAATTGGCTACAAGGAACACAGGAGAAAGGACAATTTAGGAAAAGTTATCAGATGCAATGCACTTACTCATAAGCCGCGGCAAGGACTTGTCCGGTCGGTGAAAGAGCGATGGTCCTTGGTGTATGATCAAGTGTTACAGATCTTGTATGCTTTGGTGGACGCACAGTTAGGTCGTAAAGGTTGACCTGAAGATCGGTTGACAATACAGCAAGTAGAGATCCATCATCTGTAATTGTTGTCGCCGCTGGTCGTCGCAAGATCTTAAGTTCTCGTATGATGTGAACCTCCGGGGCCGTGACATCTATTATGTGAATTCGAGATGAATTATAGGCTAGAACCAGAACTCCACGAGGAGAGATAGAAAAATGGCAGGCCTCACCTCCAGGCGCACTGGATGAGCCTATCGATGTCGAAACTAAATTGATGACCGTCTCTCGAGGTCGTAAATATGCTTCGAATAAATTACGCCTGACCTCTTGGGCAAAAAGACCCCGCAGACGTGGAAGACTGTCCTTATTTTCTAAAGCAGGATTTGTTTTATGTGCGGCCGAGTAGGAAGGGCATTGGGTGAGTTGATGCGAGTAAAGGTAGGCTTGTTGCGAGATGCCCCTCCATCTTGAATTCAGTAGAACGAGGGAGGCAAAGGTATTGGCATTGGTAAGGAGAAGGATTCTATAAAATATGATTAGATGTTTTACATAACATTTTTGGTTAATGCGCTCACTGTAGAATAATATCTTCAGGTAGCCTTTCAAATGCGCTTTTCTCCATCTTGGATGTTTCTGACAATTGTTCCTCAGATCCCACAGAAGGGATTGAACTTATCGACGCGCTTCTATTCGACATTTCTGTAATTGAAGTCTATTGTCGTAAATTCATTTGTGCTGAATTAGAATTACTGTAAGGGGAAAGTATCCAAGAGAGTAAATCTGGCTCGCAGATTCGCATGCGCAAATACGAGTTCGTGGATCTCGACAGGAATGTTAATGGAGCTTAAAGCTTAATGCTTAATGTAAGATTGATGTGATAGGAAAGTTCGGTTGAAACATGGTTGTAGCTAAGCCTCCAAGGCTATCAAGGCTATATTCTCTTTCTGAGTGAATATTATTAAATACAAGCGCCTTCACAGCTGATTGAGGGTGAAATAAATCAAAGTTATAAGCAACGAAAGATTGCCTGGGGATCAGTGATGATCGACGTCGCATCAACAATCGAGGGGGTCCAGCTTCCAATAATAGCACACGTAAGGATTGGGGTAGAAGAACTTTTATTTTTGAGCTTTATAAACACAAATGAAATAAGTAGTATGAGGGGGCGGGAATTTGATAACTTTTGAAGTCGAAGATATAATTCCTAGTAGTAAGTAGAAAGGCGTATATTCGATTGCTTGATATCTATGTATCTATGTATCTATGTATCTATGTATCTATGTATCTATGTATCTATGTATCTATGTATCTATGTATCTATGTATCTATGTATCTATGTATCTATGTATCT